TGGCCGATCCCCGGGTACGCCGTGGGTGGATCGCTGAGGGTTTAACGACCTCACTGTTTTTTTCTCACTGCGCATCATGGTTAATAAGGGGAATCATCCCCAAATGGCCGAACTATTCAGGTTAGTGAAATATGATAATTGAATATAATTGACCCAGACAAATGATGTACAGAAATAGATGGGAAATGATTGAAGAAGGAATGGAGAGGAGGGTATTATGTGAACGTATATCTAAGTGGTGACAATTAAATCGATGGGAAGTCACCTGTGAAAGAGCAGGAAGAATCATGAAGAATCATTCCTGCGTGCATCGTAGATGTGTATATGTATGACAAGTTAGTGGAAAAATATACAATATACATCAATATACATTTTGCATTGCTTGGTTTTCCACCGGAAGGTCAAAATCTTGGGAATCGGTTCCAGGGATCAAAGTGTTGTTGATTTCTTTCGAGTGGAAGTGAAGACGTTGATGAATTCTGGTTTGAAAGGCCTGAATATTGGAAGTCTTGCTTGGAAAATCTGAATCATAGCTGATATGACATGCACTCCCATAAGAGTCATGAATCTTCTTCGGCTCAACACCGATTGGTTTGGGATTGTTCCTGCATGAACATATGTGCCATGGCCACAACCGGGATGGTTTGTACTGTAGATGATCAAGGCACCAAATTACAGCCGCTGTCAGGTTCAATGTTTGGATCTCAAACATCTCGCTGTCAGATATCCTACTGTGGATGGAAGAAATCCTGCACCACCTGGGATGGTGGAAAACCTATAAATAATGGGATAAACCACCTATTACCTGGTGCAGGATTTCGCAACCATCCACAGTAGTTAGAAATGATTCCCGCTTTTATTCAAGACAAGGGTCACCACCCCAAAAACACTTACACCAATTAACTTATAGCACTACCATTTTTTTGTGATCGTGAAAAAGAAGTCAAAGGCTCAAAAAATGGGAGATCATCATCACCCATACGATGCTATGAAAAGGTTCCTTACCCAATGATTTTGCGACCTGTGAAACTTGGAGCTGTAGATCATCCAAATCTTCGAGTTTTTGCCGAAGTTTGAACGACGCCTTAGCCTGGCGAAAATGGATAGGTGGTGAAGCAACACACATGGATTTGAAGCCATAGCTCTTGTGATAGGGTGGACATGATTTAACAGGATTTAACCAACAACAATAGGTGTATCATGGTGTATCTCAATTCTGACCCTAGAAACCACCACTTTGCAGCCCATGAAGCCTAGCGGTTGTGGCTATGAGTTGATGGTGATTGGTAGCCATCCAACCGTGCCGGTTTCTGTTGGTGACAATCCCAATTTGGTTGCTTGGGTATCTGCACATGTACTTCGACACACATGAAAGACAATTGAAATACTATATATATACTGGTAGAATCTGGTAGAAAGGAACTGCCTCTCTTGATGATCTTTATCACTCCAGATGCTCCATGAGTTCTTTACACGGAACGTGTTTAACCACGAATCAACACACGGTGCTGGCCATGCCACTGGATGCTGGGCTGATGCCATGACGCTGCAAGAATTACACCTGGGCTCCAAAGCACCTTAGCTGATGAAGTTCCTACATTTACAGTTGCAGCCTATGGTTGTATCTCCATGATATATTTTAAAAACAGTTATATGATAGTGATATGTTTATACTTCTCATTTTTATGTTGGCATGATATTTCAGGTTATGATAAGATGACTCAGGGTTATACCCCTGTTTCTTGTTTGTTGTATACCAGTTTTAGTCTGGTTATGAAGTGGGATAGCCAAGATTATCCTTACTGGGTTACAACTGGAATAAGCACTATTTATCAAAATCTAGGTGAGCCTGATTGCTGCGCAGCTAATTGTGTCTGAATTACGAACCAACCAATATCGAGAACGTAATTGGTCCCCAGAATTAGAACATCAGCAGGTGGGTAGAAGCCTCTGGTACGCCGTCACACGTGGGTACCCAAAGGGCACGGGTCCAAAACGCTGTGCTACAAAAATAGTTTCTTCAACATATTCTACTTGGATGTGCATCCAGTTTATAGATCATTACACATATTACCCACTTCACTACGAACATAGAAAACAAACACATTTATCATATATATATATATATGTATACGTATATACATAAATATATATATATACATATATGTATATACGTGTATATGTATATACGTATATAGACATATTAGACTACGCAAAACAGTACACAGAACATTGAGCACCGCCAACGTCAACAAAAACATACAGAGACGCCTCGCCTCACCAGGTCTGGTGCATTCTGAGATCTGGCCCAGTAGAAGCCATCTTGGTGCCTTGGTGATTTGGGTTTAAGGAACACTGATAAAATGGGATTCTATGGTAATGAATGGTGATTTCATGGGATTCGATGTTTTTTCCCCCAATTTGTCACCCTGAAAAATCCATTGGTACACCATGGATGAATGTTTTTTTTTAGGTATGTGTCTTCCATTGATGGTACACCATAGGTGCCACTAGTTGATCATCCTTTTCCTGAAAAAACCGGTGCCATGGCTTTGATGATTTTTGAGTTGAAATCAGCAAGGGGATGATGATTTCATCAAACACCAAGGGGTTTCACCAGCTAGGCATGGTTACTAAAGCACAACTGGTGGCTTGATTGTTGGGTATTGTTGGGTCCCTGCAGTAAACAATCATGGTAAGCAGATTTCGCTTGTTTTCATGGGCCTGGTTTTGATGGGACAATATCATGTGCAAATGGACCAAAGTCAGTTGCCAAAGTAGAATTCTACAGGTTTTTCAACTTAAAAGATGTATCAGTCAGATATAGGTCAGCTCTCAACACCTTCAATTTTTTATAAATTACATAGCAGTGCTAGTATACTGGGGTAGTATCAATGGGAGATTATGTACATTAATTTAAAAAAAACATGCATTTTTTGGGGGAACATGTCTTTTAGATGAGGATCGCACTAACTTGTGCACTAACAACTCCATCAACATCCAATTTCTGGCAATGGAGATATTGATGGAGTTTTAAGTGGTGGCTAACACACACACACACAAAAAAACAAAAAACAAGATACATTTTGTCTCGGACTGTCGGCAGCGACCGAAGGAATTCAAGCGCGAAAGATCAAGCACTGGCTTTATACAGTTGGTATTTTGATGTATGTTGTCCGTTTTGTCCATGAATTTCATTCTCCATGGATAATTCGATGCAACCATGGAGCTTGGAGCTGGAATCCCAAGCATTTGGAGCTTCTGGTGGCAATTACAATGCCATTTGAAGCGGCTCGTTTTGGAGAGAAGGCATCATGTTCACGAAAAGAGTTAAAACACTTCCATCAAACCATGCCTTAATGGGCCAATACGCGCAGAGACGAGATGCTGGGTTCAGTGTTGCTTTTCTGATGCTTGAGTTCTGGTTTTTAGAATTGTTGGCGAGATTTTGCCATTGTGTGTAAAGCCTGCATAGCATACTTTCCTCCTTTACAAACTCCTAAGTTTGTGTTTGTACTTTTCTAAGCACATGATGGATGATGAGAATCACAGGTGCAGCCTGGCCAGTTTCAGAGTGTGTTGGCCTGTCCGTGTCTGGCCATTTCAATGGCGGGCAGGGGCTGGGTTTGAAGTTCTTGAACTTGGGCATATTCAGCAAATTAGCATTGTGAATCACGCTTGGATGAAATTATGATCGTGTCTAGACAAGACCACAAAACTGGTACTGTAGAGCAATCTGTATTTGATAGAGCGCTTGTCTTGGCAAACTGTTTTGACGGCAGGTTCACTTGGTGTTTCTTTTATGCAGAGTTGGGAATAGACAAAATGAATCAAAATGATACATGGTATCATGGTGATTTTCCCATTAAAAATGGTGATTTTCCATAGTTATGCTAGTTTACCAGAGGGTATCACTTGTTCTTGTTGGTTGCAGAACCAACTGTATACTTCCGGTCACCAATTTCCAGAGGTGATACCTCCAATTCTGCTTACATAGCCATACTTTAGGTCAGAACTTTTGGGAAAAAACAAGATCAACTGACGGTTAGAAAGCAATGATGTTTAGTGACGCTATTCACTAGTGTTTCACGTCACTATCTTTTCTTGGTCATTTCTACCAACGTGATATGGTGACTGCAAATCGACCTTTGTCGTAAGATGTACTGGTTCTCTTCCGATCTTGTGGTTTTTACATGCAATTCAACCAGCTAGTTTCACATGAAATGTTGATTTGTTGATGGGTTTTATCTGCCTGTATCCTCATCGTTGGTATAGCTGAATCATCATTGATGTCTCCACAAATCTCTACAATCTCTGTGCAATCTCCAGTGCCACAGGCCTCAACAGTCCGCTGACAGAGTGGCGGTGGAAGGTGGTACCTGTGGTCCAAATTGGTGCCCAAATTGGACGTTTTCTCGGTGAGAAAGCAGTGATGGCTTAGTAGGGAATGGATGGGTTGCTGGGGGTTGCTGGGATGATTATTACTAGTGATGACTGGGATCATTCCCGAAAATTCCCTGCGTAAAACGCACCAATAAGTCAAAGGTTGCGTTGGGTTCTACTACGTGGACAATCGGAATCTGCACTTCTCAGAGATCGAAGATGCCGTGAGGTGGGACAAGGGACCCAGAGCCATGTCGCTTGAGAACTGGTCACAATCCATAGGTCAATTTTGGGGATCCGAAGAAATAGAAAAGTTAGATCAGTTAGATCCTGCAATTTCGATGATGATTTTCTTTTCCAACAAAATCCAGTCATATCAGTGTTTTACACTGTTACACGACTTCAGGGACTTCCTGACTATTGTAACGAGCAGCAATAATTCAGCAGAATGATCCTTCCAGCACATGGTGGGTTTATCTAGTTAGACTTATTTCGGAAAAAAACACTGCATTCTGGGTCCAACAACATGAAACACCCAGAAGCCATGAATCAATGCATCAATGGTGGGTCACTGCTCATTTGAGAGGATCGATCTTCCAGACTCTTGCGACATTGAGATGCTGGTTTCTTGCTTCACTGAGACGCCACTCAGAGAAATTGAGTTCAATGGGCATCACAGTGCATCACAATTTCCAGACAATTGGGGACCCCCGCAAAGAGAGTCAAAAGAAAAAACACTGACAATGGAGTCGAACGTCACTCTCGTTGATTTTTGGGTGCCGCCTGTTAGCACCCAGCGGCCAGCGAGCTGCCAGCCATCAGGTCGGATGCGATCTTCATGCCCACCAATCCCACCAAGCAGATCTCACAGGAAGCATGGCATTTTTTGCCTCTAATGGTGCCTCAGTGCTGGTTCGATGTCGAAAAAATCCAAAAGGCTTGCCACAAAAAGATGGAAACGTTTTTCCGGGATGTTGAAGAATGAAGATGATATTTCCAGATTCCCAGCTGTTCTTTCTATTTTGGGATGCTTCCGTGTGCAGGGTTGGGATATCCTCTCTTCATTGCGGGTTGACTCCGATCACCGGTCAACTTGTTGCCCATGATTGGCTACCCATCAGCTTCCATCACTTTGAACACAGAAGGACCATCAGATTTCAGGCTTACTTTGGAAGATGCATCTTCTAATGGACCCGGCCATTTTCGAATGATTCTATGATCACAACTGACCAGCACAAGGGACAGTTGGCCAAGCTTCCCATGGATCCACTGCACTTGCTGAACCACCTACATGCTCCAAGTTTTATACCCTTGTGGTACACCCAAAATTGGTCATCCAGTTAAGTCATCATTACATATCCTGTTAGTAGTTGTAATATATATATTGATATATTATATACGTATATATAATATATTATATACGTGTATATATATACACATTTATACTGTATTCGTATGACCATATCGTTTGGTCCGCCACTAGGCATCCCGCTCTCAGGAGCCCTTTTGTTCCATTCGCCTCGCTGAAGATCATCAGCTCTTCCTTCGGAATAGCCCCTTGGTGTCGGCGCACGCGGCTGGGGATTCCAGTGAGGAAAAATGGAGCTTTCACCACTGGAAACAGCTGGACATCTCTGGAAACTTGAGATTTTTGATGAGTTGGGACAGAACTGGAAGATCGAGCAACAAACATGGGGATACCGGGATATTACAAGTTCTGTTTGAAACTGTAAGCATCAGTGGACAACAGGATCGAACAGATGTCTACTTTAACGTTTTTTTCAGAAAGGGTACAGACTTGGCTTGTGAAAGTTGAATGTAACATAGTAGCTGGGTAGTAAAAATGGTTGGAGTATGTTAATATGTTGCAACCTTTGTTGAGTTATGTTGAGTTGAAAACCTCATCAGTGGGATTTGGCTAGTACTTCCAGCTTGTGATCGCCCTTCGTAGACGTATCAGTTTGTTCATGTTTATGCTGGAATTTTGCGTGAAATCTAGCAAAGCCCACAGGAAATCTCTATGAATCGCATTAACATTGCTACAGACTGAGACACTGAGACTGAAGCATGGGATTGGGATGGATTCTTGCCGCTATCGGTAGGCTTATTGGGATGGATCCACACATTCTACCAGTTGGAGTTCCCTTTGTGTATTCTGTGTGGATTCATGGAAGCCTCCAATGGGCCCTCTGCTCACTTTCATTCTTTCACGTCGTAAGTTTGTCTGAGCCATTGCCAGAGATTAGCAAATCTAGAGGAATCAATTGCAATCAGCATTTTCCATAGCAACCCACCTGAAAAAGGTATCTTTCCAAAAGGGTAGAACTTACATCTGACATGGAAATCGAGTTTGACATCTGCAGCGCGGATGTCTGAGGTGTTCTGTTGCTCGGCGGTCAGATGTGACCAATGAACAGCTGGGGTTATTGGTGAGATTCGGTGAGTAAAAAGATGCTACTGGTACCCAACATCTGAGTCACACACGGGAGGCTGTTCATGGAATGCCTTCGTGTACGTAGGAGACAGCATTTTCATGCAGCAAGTGTGTGAACCGATGAATGGACCTCCCGAAAAACATCGCCTTCGCTTGTCCTCAAACTATTTGACGTTGAAAGGAGATAGCTGGAATTTCAAACATTGTAACATGGCTAGGTGAATATCCTGCTGTAGGTCTGTTTTCTGGATGTTCATCAGATCCTCTTATTTCGAAGCTGCCACCGGTGGCTTCAGGGTGGTGCCAGACTTCTTCACCAAAGAAGATTCTGGGCGGCATTCAGGTAAGTTGCCCATCCGAAGAATTCCAATTCCCTGTAAGATTGGATGATTTTTGTTCCCGTGCTTTGATGGTAGACCTGGTAGACCTGGTAGACCATGGTGATTTTCACAGACAGACAGATCTTTATCCCATGGGATCACCCCGAGGAGTGTCACATCTTCATGGACGCGGCCGATCGGAGTGCTTCCGTCGGCAGCGCTGCAGGGAAGTTCTATTCCAACCAGCCGGGATTGAACCGTTCCCCGGAGACCTCCCGGAGACCTGGGGTGGTTTAAACTGGAGCTGGTGGAAACACGACTGGTCATTGTTGGCATCATTTGGCATATCAAAGCAACGTTGGGCTCGTTTTTTTCCGCTGAAGTTACTGGATGGCGGGCAGTGATTCTACATTTGAAGTTGCCACAAATCAGAACAGCCTACTGTAGCCTACAATATTAAACAGCTCACCCCACCCAAAAATGGGAACCCAAATTGGTGTAGACAGTAGACACATGCTCTCGAGGTTACCCTGTGCGCAAGTTGGACTTGGAGGCGCAGATGTTGTCAGAGACTTGGCTCGGAATGAAATGTTACTGAATCCTTATATTATATAACCATCTACTTTGCCATGTGGATGACGATTTACATGCTCTCCAGAGGGATTCCAAGCATTCTGCTCAGCCATCGAACAGTGGTAGACTACTTTAGCAGTGACGATCTCTGGTACTAGCTTACTCTTGAAGGTACCTCGGACCCCAAATCTCACGCATTTTTGACATCCAGACCCACATTTGTCCAAACTTTTTCAAGTATATAGTGAGTGTTTCAGATCCTCTCAGTGCTCAAAAAACATATCAAGAAACATCACTGCTGAAGCCACACTTCGCATATCTTCGCCCATCAACTTTTTTTGCCGTCGTAGCCCCGGCCTGGTGACTGGTGCCTTTAGGACAGTGTCCTGAAGGATCGTCTCTTGCCGAAGTTTCAGCTGGGTTGGTATCAGAATGCCGAGGAACTGGAGATGGACGTATCACGGACGCAATGCGTGTCACAGAATGAAGTCCTGGTATCATCTGGTGACTTTGAAATATTTTGAAGTCCAGAAGCGCATTGTGATTGGAGCTAGAGGATCTGGCCCTTTTGACACTTTGAATTTCTGAATTTCCAGGCTCAACTCTCGAATCATAATCCCACTTCGCAAGTGATTGGTGACCACAACTGATATTATCTGCTTGTGGCTGGGAGAATGAATCTATTTTTTTCTGGGATGCGAATGTGATCAAATCAATAGGTTGCCAACAAAGTCATGGGACCACTATCATTCGTAATGCTGATTCAAGTCCATCATCAGTATGAATTGACAAGAAACTGATTGTCTCACTCTATCTCCAGAATTTCTGGTGTTCCGATGCCATCTATGCCATTCTATGCACCCCATGCAGCCGCAGACAAGGTTTGCTGCCCCTACTGCAACGCAGCTCGTTCTGTGAAGAACTCTTTGGTACCTCTCAGCCGAAGGATGGTGGGCACGGATGGCACAGTCAGCTGATGGCACGGATGTTTTTTTTCCGACTTTTTTTGGGGGTTCTGCAGGTTCCCCAGCCCCTTTTTTTTACCATTCAGCTGACTGCGACTATGATTCAGCTCAGCAGATCAGTCATAGGCCAATAGGCATATTTTGATCGAAGCTGCTGAGGGTCGATTATGAATCATTATGAATCATTATGAATCGGGTGTAAAGGATACCCTCTGGTAATAGCTGACATAGCTATTGAAAATGGCCATTTATAGTGGATTTTCCCATTAATAGCATGGTGATTTTCCATAGTTATGTTAGTTTACCAGAGGGTATTGACCGCGGGACTACTTTGGAGTGAAACAAAACCAAGTCTCCGAGGGTTTCATCTCAAATTTCAACAGCACCACAAGCCGCAGGTCGGTCCACTTTTTTTCTTTGATCCGTCGTAGTTATCATTGTCATATACTATCATCATGCTTGGCTCAGCCATCACGGTATCCACCCAATAACCATTCAATGCCATTCATCATCAACATGTGGACAGTTTGGGTTGGTGCTTGGGTCTCCCGGTACCCATCGGTGCCCATCGGTGCCCATCGGTACCCATCGGTCCGCAGGACTTGAAAGCCTTCTTCTCTCCAGGGGAGCCTGCAGTGAACCGGTGCCTTTGCATGCTGTGTTCAAAAAGATTGTAGTTGAAGCAACTTTTATTCAAAGCATTCGGGGATGTTCGTGATTTTGATCTATCTGATTTTGCTCCATGACTTGAGTGCATTCGGCCACCCATTATGACACAGCAGTCTTCACTGTATCAGACTTCCTGGGGACTCCAAGCTTTGACACCCTGGTGGCCGATAACGTACCCGCTATCACATCCTGGTAGGAGATGATTGGTATGGGACAGACTTACTATACGGGTTGCCCTCTAAGCTAAGCTGGAACTGAAACAGGAGATCGCAATCCACTTCCAGCCTTCCATTTCTGCACCACTATACCAGACATCCCTTAAGAAGTGCAGATGCACATCGAATGCTACCGAAGGTATATCACTGGAGGAGCAATTGCTCCGCATATCGACCGGGATTCTCAGCTAAAAAATGCTGGGAAATGCTGGGACTTCCTGTGACTCCTATCAATTTTTGACAATTTATGTGATGCAACGCAGATATATGCAGATAATCATCAACCCAGTGGCCCAGTGGCTTTTGGGGGATCCTGTTGGGTGAACTCTCTCTCTCTCTCTCTCTCTGCGAATCTGCAGTATTTGGTATTGGTCCATGCCATTGATGGAAAAGGGATGCACAAATAAGCCACATGTAGTCTTGGTGATTTTCCATGATTTTCCAGTTCTTGGTTGTTTCACCTTGTTTCACCATCCATTCTTCCATCTTCCCGGGCTTCACCCAGGGCCCTCCTTGGGCCCCTTGGGGCTCCTCCTGGCTCTCAGGAACAGCTGACGCTGAACGTCCTGCTCTCGGAGCCGGGTGCCTTCCAAGGCGGCGGCACAGCCTTTTGGCCTCAGATCGACGGGAGCTCCCCGACTGAGGCACCGCAACGGGAGCGATGCCGCGATGCCGCGATGATGGGGGGTTAAGACATATTGAAACCACCGAAATCCTTATGATACACATTCCAATGATGAAAATGAATGTCAAATGCATGTTATATATGTTATATCATTTTGAAATCCACTTGGAATGATTTTTGGCGTTCGATGTTTGCTTCTTTTGGTGTCAGAGCTCAGCAAGTCACTGGTTTTTTCATTTTCGCTGGCAGGTGGATGACGAGGTGGTGGTGCTACGACCTCTGCAGGGGACAGCCATCATGTTCAACGGCCTCTTGGGGACACAATTCAGCCTGGGTCCATGGACATGTCCATGGCTAAACCTGGCTAAACCTGAGATTTTACTGCTAAGAAGCTCATCCTCTAGTAACTACTAACTCTAGTAGTATGACTCAGAATGACAATGGAACATGAACCAATTGTAGATGATTTATTATGAATTACCTACAAACAGCTTTTACAAAAGATGACCAATTTTGGTTCTCAGAAAATCAAGCCAGGCTCAGATCGGGGGTTGCTGGGATGATTGGTGAAACCCCAGATCCATGGCCCATGTCGACAGCTTTGATGTTGAGCCGTGGAGCAGTGCCAAAGTCTTTTTTCCCGAAACCAGCTTTACAATGTGTGCGGGCTACCAGCCATGGTGCACACCTTTTCACATGTTCTTGAATTGTTTTACTATGTTTTATTCTACCTTTTTGTATTTCGCACACCCCCGCTGGGCCTCAAATGGTATAAAATCAATCACCATGTTCTATTTCTTGATCTCCTCATTTATCTTTCCATATTCCCAAAGTTGGGGTAATGCAAGAAATGGAAAACATATAATGAAACATGATCATCCGAAGATTTCCATGGGAGAAGCCATGGCTGCCATGGCTCAGGTCAGGTGACCCATGCTGGCCGCGCCGTTTCAGCGGGGATCCGCCATGCTTACGTGGCGCGGCCAGCGGCAGCAGCGTTGGAAAAATGGTGATTTCATCGCTGAAAATAGGGGATGTATCTGCCAAGAATAGGGGATTCATGATGATTTACTGGTTGGTGGTTACCAACTACCCTCTGGTTATGTCAACAGTTTGCTATTGAAAATGGCGAAATGGCCCAGTCGAAATAGTTGATTTACCCATTAATAGCATGGTGATTTTCCAACTAATGAACTGGTTGGTGGTTTGGAACATGTCTTCTATTTTCCCATTGGGAATAATCATCCCAACTGACTTTCATATGTTTCAGATGGGTAGGTCACCACCAACCATTTTATGATGAGATAAATACTGATTAATCCACCAAGCAGAGATTTCTGTGGTAAACCGACTTAGCAAACTAGGGGGGTCCCTTCCCCTTACACGGAGAAACCCCTTACACGGAGAATCACATGTATCGCAGTGGTGGGCAAGAGCCGCCCAGGATGCACCAGAAATCCGGTAGTCGCCAACCTCTGGGACACTCATCAGATGTTAGCCACCATTTTTCTTTGTAACACACCTTGTTCATGACAAAAAAAAACCCGCTGTTTCCACGACTGCTGCCACGACCATGACTCGCACTAAGGTGGCGAGTTTCAGCTTGGTGAGCTTGGAGTGAGGGCGAAAATCAGGGAGCTGCGGAGTGCTTGAAGTGACTGTCTTCCTGTTTGCAAATGAGCCTTGCGATTGTGAAGCAAGGTTCACTATGTCAACTAAGGGAAAGTTACCATTGCCAAAAAAACAGAATTTGTCCATCTATTTCCTTTGCCAAAGGTAGTCATGGCACTACTATAGGCACTCTCGACTCACGTCGCAATTATGACTTCTAGTGGGATGGCCATCCCATCCCGAGATCGCAACAACCCCGTGATGGGATCGGTCGGTTGTCTACGGGTTGTGGGGCACATGGCAATCATGGCACATGGTAGCACATGGCAGCACTGGGTCAACCGGCTCAACCGGGTCAACGTCACTTGCTTGAGGCGGCTCTGGGCGAGTTGGTGCTCGCAAGCCTGAGCAGAGAGGATTGACGAAGAATGGGTGCTGCGATTTTTTGGATTCTCTTTGAACGATTTTGAACGTATTCATGTGTTTTTTTAATGTTTGGAATTGGTCCCTGTCATCTCTACTGGTACCCTGATTTCCTGTGATTTCCAGGATGTTTCGAAGATTTGAACTCAATACATACAGCCCATCCTGTGGATATTCCCACAGAACAGATGTGGAATAAGCATGAAAAACCCACATTTGCTTCATTTTCCTGGACATGAACTGAAGCATGTGAAAAGCATTTAAAATTTCTAGAATACCCTCTGGTAACGTAGCTATAGAAAATCACCATTATTCATGGGTAAATCCACTATTTCTATGGCCATTTTCAATAGCTACGTTGACATAACCAGAGCTGGTTGCTGTCTGGGGAGCGGTGGCAGGGCGCCTTGTCTCCCATCACTTTCTCGGAGTATGTCAAGCTTCTCCTCGAGGTGGGAAGATTCCCCATGGTTACCATGGTTACCATGGCAGATGGCTGGAACCCACAATAGAATCTCCAGCCATTTCACCGCAATATGATGGGTTTGTGTCCAAATGTTAGGCCACGTTCCTAGAACATGTCGATGTCAAAAATCTATTTTTTCGGGCGCCCATTTCCTCCTGCACATGCATAAACCTCTCTGATTGTTGGTGACCGTTTTTCAAACAAGGGATTCGTTTTGATGTGAATTTCTCCGCGGTGTAAGGTCAAACCTCGAATCGGGACCTACCCTCTGGTAAACTAACATAACTATGGAAAATCACCATGTTCAATTGATAAAACCACTATAAATCAACATGTTCAATAGCTATGTTAAATTACCACAATTACCAGAGGGTACCATTTCGGTATTAGATTATTACTATATGGGGGGTGGAACCCCTAATTAATCAACCGGGAGCTATTAATCTGGCTGGGGTGAACATGGTTGACATGTCGGATCACGTCCGGGCTTGCAAATTTGCAGGAAGTTTGTTCACCATGGAAGCAGAAAGGCTTAGGACCTTAGGATTCAGATATCCCCCTGACATTTCACCACGGCACTGCAAGAAGATGCTCTGCAGTTCGCCGTCCTATCCGTTCTTGGATTGTTGGGGCATCCGCTTTCCTTTTCTCCAATGGATCTGCTTCTCACCTGGGTCCTGTCAGGTGAAAACATCTCAAGCACGAAGTGCAGCCGGGACTCGAGGCGCGTAGATTTTTCGCATCTCTTGTGTTGAGCTTTGTTTCTCCACCGGCATGGTTCACTTAGGCCAACAACCATGGTCATCCACTTCCTGTACAAATGGAAGAGATTCCTAGTTAGATGATGACCTCGATGATCCTCGATGCATGGGGGTATGAATCATGGCAGATCCGCCGTTTGGGGTGACATCCCGGCCTTGTGAGGTGTCCTTGAAGAGGACTTGGGAGAGTAATGCAGCCATGGACGAAATTCCAGTGTTGTCACCGGAGAATTTGGGGTATGAATGAATGGGTATTAAGTTGGTATTAAGCCTTTAACTGGCGCAAGGGCCAATGGTTGGGTGATTCCAAAATGATTCAAGATAAGCCCTTAACCAATGGATTTGACCGAAAGGTTTTAGTCGAAAATAGTTGCCTTTTTTTCATCAAAATATACACTGACTCTGACCACTTAGCCCGCATGGTGGGAAGCCACTCCTTTCCATAAGGAGTCCTTTGCCAGAGGGATATTTCGACCCTCTTCTCCGTTCTTCTACGTTGGTTTATCTTAACGGGTAAGCCCCAAATCAGCTGCGTAATCATCATATTCGCAATTGACTGACCAATTTTGGGAACGTTTGTTTGGTGTCAGGAGATACAGACCTATGTGCTGAAGAAGCAGACGGACTTCCTGATCTTCGCAGCGTACTTTGGATGTGAAGTGGCCGACCTGATCTTGAGAGGTTGTTTTCCTGCAGGATGGGCTCCCCCAGTGATGTGAACGTTGGTTTATAAACCATTATAATCCCCATGAATACTATAGTTATATCTACCATAAACCATAGAATTCAGCCACTTATAAACCAACTGAACGCTATCTTGGGGTCCCCATCCTGTGGACTTGGGAAGTTTCGGGGGCTAAGATCCACTGTTTTGGGACAGGTGGATGATTCAACGTTGGACGTAGCAGCTGTAGCACTCTAAGATCACCAAAAGGCCACACTTTTTTTTAGGCCAAAATTGGGTAACCCGCTGCGAACTTCAAGGCGTACTCGGGACACGGGGTGGAACCTCCGCCACCGGCACACGGAGCCACTCGCTGGTCACTTCCTTTACTCAACATGAGTGTTGTATCCATGATGTTCTCGCTGGTGGCGCATTCTTTTTTGATTCCAGCTTAGTGGAGCGACCCATCAAAACTTAAAGCATAGTTGATACGATACACGATGAATCCTTTGTAGCACATCCACTGTAGTCCCGAAAGCAGCCAGGTTTGGGTGTATAGTCCCATTTTTTGGGAATCATTCCGCGAGTTTGTTGACTCCAAATTTTGCCCGGTCGGTTGCCATCCGTTTGTTGCTGAATTCTTGACGGTTCACTGGATTGATCTCATCAGTATGTTCCCCCAATTGTGTTGCTACTCCCATAGTTGCTGCGAATTAGATTCACATTGTTGTGCATCATTGTGCATCTAAGGTGGTTGGCCACGGCAATCTGGCGTTTCTCGCCACAGGAGCGGAACAGGCGACTAGATTCTTTGCCGTTTGAAGATACAAGTAGTACTCATATGGGTATGCTGCAAACTTTGGCGCGTTCCTCCAAAATTGCAGTTCTGGACATGGATGTTATGAGACATGGATGTTGGGTATTTTAGGGCTACAATGGCTGATTTGGGACACGCTAAAATCATCCAGCATCATCCAGCCTTCCCCAGCGTTGATGACCAGGTTGGCGTACTTGGAGATTGGCACCGCCGAATCCTTCACGCAACTGTCGCACCTGTTGAGGTGGACAGGGCTTGGGCTGCGGCAATTTGATGCAATTTGTCCGTTCACCTAGTCAAAACATGTCGAGAGAGCTCTCTGAATGTGTTGGTAATTTTACTTTGTACCTTGGATGACTTGGAGGAACAGATTTTCGCAACTCATTTTGAGTCGGTCAACGATGTCGGTTCAGAGCCATCAATGGATCGCTGCCAGGCTGCCAGGTCTTGCAGTTGAGGCCCCGACATGGCAATCGGTGCATGGAGGTGTTGACAGGTATGGATCCAAATTGATGGCCCAAAAACCGAAATCCCAAAGATGTTGGGCATTTTCAGTAGCAAACCAAACATCACATGTGTAGATGATCACGACAGACCAATGATGCCAATGCACCCATGACCCATGGCTGGTCGTCCCATGGCTTTTGGGGAGAAAAATCCGCCTCCTGGGAGCATCTTGGTGTTGAATTTTACGTATTTTTCATAGTAAGGGGCTTCTTCCAACACCAAATCCGAAATACGAACCTAGATTTGCTGATCTTCTCATGAAAATGACCAGTTGTTGGGGTTTATTAATGTTTATTTAGTTTGTTTCCTGTCTTCTTGTTTTCATTGAGGTAAATCCAGCAACAGGCCATATCCCATTTACCAATTTTCATCATTCGGTGCGTAGTAAGAAAACATTCCCGAGAAAGGAGCTTATGGCATTGGACCAATTCCACGGTACAGTCATTTCAATTGTATATTTATATTAGGCTTAGAAATACTCGATAGTATCCCTCCATTCACATCTATAATGCACTAAATGTATCTAAATGTGCACTGTATTATAGATGTAAATGGTGGCACTATAATGGTGGCATAACTATGTGTATTCCAAATGTTTTGCCCACCATTTTTACATCAGAGCCTAGCCACCTCGCTAGGTCCCAGAAGCTTTGCCATCTACGGAGGCGGGGCCAGTCATCGGCTGACGAGCCGCGTTTGGGGTTTTAGGGCCGATCGTTTTAGATCATTATATCGGGATATATGTATGTATACATTAAAGATGTATGTAACGTGGAATATATATATATAGATACAGCATTATATACATATATAATATATTATATATACAGTATTATATATACATATATATATATATACATATATATATATATAATAATAATAATAATAAGAATAATAATAATAGTTTTATTGTGGGACAATGGAATCGGGCGATTACAATGGGATATATTACTTGTGTGTAATAGATCATAATTGACGTTTTGTAGTGGTTGAGATGAAGACAATCCATAAGGAACCCCCAAGATGGAACAAATGGGGATGGATTGGGGTTCCAAATTTCGAGCCCCACAACCCGGGTAGATTGATCATCTATGTTCCCACAAGAGATGAGATACCCCAATCCGTGATGTTGAAATACAGGGTCATTGAACAACAAAATGAAGATCATACCATTTTTTGGTCTGATCAAAATCGAGGTTTGCCCAACAGCAGTATTGAAATGGAACATACTGATAAATCCCTGGATTTTGTGGGTGTACTGTGCACCATTTTTGGCCAAAATTATTCTGCTCCGTTTCAGGGCGAACTTGAGGATGCCACAGTCGATTCGTTCATCGCGGTGCCAGAAGTTTACTTGGATCTGTTGAAGGACCAAGTGCACCGTTTGAAAAATGGTGTGCAAACCTTTCTGGAAGTATAGCTGATCATAGTGCATCTATAATCCATGATGAATGGTGTAAGGTGTCTAAAGCTCTTCAAATTGATGCATTTCACTGGTCAGACCGACGGGGTTTGACGCCTGCCTTTGATGGTGGAAAGTTTGTTTCTCCATCTGTCGTTTATCATACCCAACTGATATAAGGCCCACCACACCATCCACACCATCCACACCATAGGCCAAGTGGCCAAAGTTTATGTTGCAAGTCTCTGATGCAAATAGTTGGCGCGTGGCAGAACATGGTGACAGATCTTGACTTCGCAGTCTACTTATGTAGAACATCCATGAGCATCCTAAAAACATGAATTTGATTGAGACCTTGAGAGGTTGATATGCTGCATCCAGTATTCAAGTGTTTTGAATTAGTTCTCCCAGTTGGTAAATCCGCACCACCGGATCAGTGCAAGTGAGGATGTTCGCAAGAGGTGCAACGGGTGGTACAGTACTGCTGGGACATGAGTTCAGGCGTGTCTTGCCATGGTCTCGGTATGATCAACCCTGAGGTTGATGTAGCCACATCCGGGATGGGCATATCCCCATCAATAGCACTTTGGACCCAATGATATGGTTGAACCCCCCAACATTTGAGGTATAGATGGTGTTGGATGAACAGATCTGACTCTTGGGTTCGTCCAAAAAAAGGTACCCATACCCCAAAAATCATTCAACTATCATTTAGCAACTGGAAGTACAATTTTGGCGTATCCCAACCCAGTTTGTGACACACCCATGTCCTCCGGACTATCATCATAAAGATAGTACATATACCAGTACAATACATCAAACATATTATCTTTATATAGCTATAGTACGTACATCAGGAAGAAGAAAGCTTTTTCTCGTTGAGTTTTTGATAAACATCATGACCCCCAGCCGCTGATCAATGATCCTCAGCAGCTGATCCACGACCCATCGTCAGACCTTGCAGCAAATGCCAACGGCTACCTGATGAGCCTGCGATGTGTCTCCTGTGCCTAGAGCCCTAGCTGCTGGCTGTCTGGGAAATCCCTGAACTAAATGGGGGATGTCCTATTGCCATGTTTGATTACCACAGTGCCACAGGGTCTGGCCACTGAACAAATTGCGAAAACAATGGTGAGTCAACAATGACAGTCAAGACACATCTATGCCATCTATGCATACTTATAGAATTTATACGTGATTCTTTTTGGTACTGGGTTGATTATGTAATGTTGATATCCACGGTCGTATACACTTGATTTCCAAGCATATCGGAGAGCAGTGATGTATGGCCATTTGAATAAGTCTTTTTGGAGCAGGTCGGCTCAAAACCCTGGTGAACCTCTTGAATATGCATCAAATCAGGGACCCATCCCCTGCCATGCACAGAAGACCAAGGAAGTCTCGAACTTTCAGGATGCTAATTGATTTCATTGATTTTCATTGTTCATCTGCGAATTTCGCGGGAAAGGTGAACGCAAAAAACACAATCCTTTTTTGGGATGAAAATCCAAGAATCGTTGACTTAGGTCACCAGCTACTGCCTCTACTGTGTTACATTGAAATGAACATCCCGAACATCCCAAGGAAAATGAGATTCCATCTCACCTGAACTACGGCCCTTATCAACGGCCCATGTGGTGACTTACTCGAAGCCCACCCTAACCCAATACCGGTTTCTATGGGTCCCAGGTGGCGCCATCGTCTGCGTGGGTAGAAGAGAGGTGTAGCAAGGGAGATGGTTGGCCTTTGGAATGTTGGTCACTGGCTATAAATCATCCGTAATCATTAATACTCATTAGTATTCATATTATTTGTGTTGATTATTCATGATTCGATTGAATGACGATTGATGATCATTGATTGATGATTGCAGATCATTGGTTATCATTATGACGAGGATGAGGATGAGGATGCGGATGAGGATGAGGATTGATGTTTTGATAATGAGGGATTGTTCGTCGTGTTCATGATGCTGATGCTTTTTGATCAAGGTGATCAGAATGATGGTAATCACTGATTATAAGGACCACAACTGGTCTTATTGCCACCATGAGAATTGTGGTGTGACAAGGGCGTTGCAATTTGTGATCGGCGTGCTCGTCAAATACAGGTTCACTATACCATTTCTTCAGAAATTGTTCCGCTTCATGTAGCATCATGTAGCCATGGTTTTAGAACTTCTTTTGGAAAGGTGGGGTCACCATGCGATTCGCCATTTCGACTATGGTACTGATTGAAATCAGATGGAATACCTACATGGCATGATCCATGTGAAGCCACATGTTTTACAATCTGGCAGCTTGTCAACACTTGAATCTCAAGTCAAAAGTTTGTTGAGGCCAAGGATGGTCCCAGCCAGCTTCTGTGTATCGTGTATTAGAACTTGGTTTGTCAAATCATAGTTCAGATATTGTTCAGATTCTCTCCGAGCCCAAATCATTCTTAAAAGCTCTCAAACCGAGCTGACCGGATTTCTTGTTTCCCAATGATGATTTCGAAAGCTATCGCAGTGAAAGTTACAACAAGTTTATAACCATAAATAAATAAATATGTATATATATATATGAGTGTTTTGTAAGATGGAGAACCCAGATCATCGTGAACTGAACGTTCAGCAATGGATTCATCAACTACGCGACTAACAGAACTAGCTCCATTCAAGACGCATGTTTGTAGCTGAATTCAAGACGGCCAAGGAACACTCTCTGGTTGGTGGTTTGGAACATGGCTTTTATTTTTCCATATATTGGGAATAATAACCCCAACTGACTTTCATATTTTTCAGAGGGGTAGGTATACCACCAATCAGCTCTAATGATCAAGAATTACGACTGGTCAAATCAGTCAAATCATCGAAAATCCGATTGTTTCCATTTTCTCTTATAGTTTTGATCCTTTCACACGCTCAACAGGATTGCCGAGGCAGCGACACGGAGGCCGGGGCCAGCCCCCGAATCTCGGGGGATGCCATGACGGTTTTGATTTGTGTGGTGGGGGTGAAGGCAGGCGCAGTATTTACTACGTATTTTTCATCGCAGGCAAAACCTGTGCATCCGTGTCCATAGCAAGCGTGTCGTGGCCCTTCTTACATTAAGTGCAACAACATACACACCCTAAAGGTGTCGTGGCTCTTCTTACATCAAGTGCAGCAACATATAAACCCTAAAGGCGACGTGGCTCTTCTTACGCTAAGTGAAAGAACATATAAACCCTAAAGGTGTCGTGGCTCTTCGTGGTGTCGTGGCCCTTCTTAAATTAAGTGCAACAACATACAAACCCTAAAGGTGTCGTGGCCCTTCTTAAATTAAGTGCAACAATTACGTGAAAGAACATAAAAAAAAAAAACTAAAGGTGTCGTGGCTCTTCTTACATCAAGTGCAGCAACATATAAACCCTAAAGGCGTCGTGGCTTTTCTTCCACTAAGTGAAAGAACATATAAACCCTAAAGGTGTCGTAGCTCTTCTTACATTAAGTGCAACAACATATAAACCCTAAAGGTGTCGTGGCTCTTCGTGGTGTCGTGGCCCTTCTTAAATTAAGTGCAACATCATACAAACCCGAAAGGTGTTGTGGCCCTTCTTAAATTAAGTGCAACAATTACGTGAAAGAACATAAAAAAAAAACTAAAGGTGTCGTGGCTCTTCTTACATCAAGTGCAGCAACATATAAACCCTAAAGGCGTCGTGGCTTTTCTTACACTAAGTGAAAGAACATATAAACCCTAAAGGTGTCGTGGCTCTTCTTACATTAAGTGCAACAACATATAAACCCTAAAGGTGTCGTGGCTCTTCGTGGTGTCGTGGCCCTTCTTAAATTAAGTGCAACAACATACAAACCCTAAAGGTGTCGTGGCCCTTCTTAAATTAAGTGCAACAATTACGTGAAAGAACATAAAAAAAAACTAAAGGTGTCGTGGCTCTTCTTACATTAAGTGCAACAACATATAAACCCTAAAGGTGTCGTGGCTCTTCTTACACTAAGTGAAAGAACATATAAACCCTAAAGGTGTCGCGGCTCTTCTTACCTTAAGTGGAACAACATATAAACCCTGAAGGTGTTGTGGCTCTTGTTGCACTAAGTGCAACAAGATAAAAACCCTAAAGGTGTCGTGGCTCTTCTTACATTAAGTGCATCTAATTACATTGGTATCGTGCACAGTGATCCCATTTATGCCAAAATTGAGCCCATTTATGCCCCAAGTGAGCCCAATTTATGCCCCAAGTGAACCTCAAAAATTTACGCCCAAAGTGAGCTCGAATTTATGCCCAAAGTGAGCTCGAATTTACGCCCAAAGTGAACCTCAAAATTTATGCCAAAGAGCCAAAAATTGGACAGTCCGATGTAAAAAATCTGGAAGTGGAACCGCGTCATGGTTTTCAGGTCTCACCCAGCGGACATTCGCTGTTCTTTCCCCAAGTGTTTTGGCCCAGCAGTTCCCACCACGTAGCACAGCCAGGGGCAGTGTACGACGCATGCGCGCGAATGTACTGCAGGGCAGTCGCTCTTCTTGCTGCCGCAGGGGAGCCTGGTGGCTGTCCGATGGTATCAATGGAATTCCATGGTTCTGCATATTAAGATATTAAGTCAATACCAGTAGTACCGCACAAGGCGGTGGCGGAAGTTTCAAAAATAGGAAACCTATAGGAGAGGTTGGTGGTTGTGAATGAGGGATGGCAGAGCGAAGCCACTGATGGACCGAAAGGTGCTTGAGGTCTCCTCTCTTTCTCTCTCTTTCTCTGACTATCTATCTATGTATCTATGTATCTATCTACCTATCTATCTATCTATCGATCTGTCATGATCTGTCTATCTATCTATGTAACTTTCTATCTATCTAACTACCTATCTATTTGTCTATCTATTTATCTATCTATCTATCTATCGATCTATCTATCTCTCTCTCTTTCATCTAATTACCTATCTATCTATCTACCTATCTATCTATCTATTGATCCATCTATCTATCTATCTATCTATCTATCTATCTATCTATCTATCTATCTATCTATCTAGCTAT